AATTCTTAAATTAAGAAATTTTTTTTTAGTTTAAGTAAATTTTACTTGATTAAAGAATTTTTCGTCTTGATTCAAGACAATTAAATTCTTCAAAATTATTCTCTTGGTTCAAGAATTTTTCTCTTGATTCAAGTTAATTTTTTTTTTAGTGTAATGGTTATTCAAATCTTCGTTATAATTGCAAATTATTTTAAAAATAATTTTTTTATACTAAAATTCATTTTTAATATCCAAAATTGAGTAAAAATTTGGAACTATAAATTATACTTTTTTGCAGATTTTCAACTATTCAAAAAAGATAATTTTTTTTTTCAATTAAATGTTTATAACTTTTGAAAATACAATAATTGATATTATTATTATTATCATCATTAATCATTGAAAAGTTATATTTTTTTTTATTATTAAATTAATTCTCTATACATTTAGTTTATTTAGTATTATTGATCATAAAAAAAGAAGAAATATAAATTAAGAAATTGAATAACATTAATTAATATTAAAAATTGTCTACAGTTAGTTATTAAAAATATATTTACTATACATATTTTTTATATATTAATATATTTAAAATGTATTTTTTTTATATTTTTTTTTTCATGGGGAGCTGCTGCTCTAACAATAAAATATTATCAAATAACAGTTTTTCTCAGACTTTTTATTTTTTGTTGAGATTTAGGGTCAGAAAACAGTTAGAAACTATAAACACGCTTCAATAATACGATGAAGCTGTTGCTACACCAGACAGAAAGAGTTGCATGTTTCTTGTATCTGTGAGCCGCTATTTAACTCTAGTGCTCTTGATAATAATGCTATCTAGCTCGCACAAGCTTTCTAGCTCTTCTCTAGCATTATCTCCTGACTATTCATTATCTACTCATCTAAAAATTTCATTCAATTAATGATGATGTGCATGAGTCTTGTCAAGAAGCAAAAGCCTTACTATTATAATTTTTTTTTTTTTACTCACTCGGAGTTTTAATAATAAATCACTGCAATGGTGTGATTTTAACAGTAAGAACCATAGACTTAAATCAATAGCGAAGGAAGTGATACAGCGACAAAGGCCTCGACTCGGTTGGGTACCAACCGTGAAGCTGGCACGAACATATACCAACAAATCATTGTAGTCTTTGTCACAGGTCACACATATAATAATATACACCCATAATATAATACTATTCAGGAGAATTGTATTTATAAGGAAACTGCTCAGATCGGTTGAAAATTTTTAGATGAATATTTGTAGTATAAGATACACGGAAAGAATAAGAAAAGATTATAAGAGATATTTGAGGTGAAAAAAAATTTCAGATAGCTGTACAGAAAAAAAAGATATTTTTCTTCCTAATTATTTTCTTGAGCAAAAAAATTTTTTTTTGATAAGAAATTTCACTTATTCCGACAAAATTAATTCTCTTGCTTTAAGGAATACGTATCTTGATCCAAGAAAATTTATTTAAGTCAAGTAAATTTTGTTTTGAGAAAATTCAGCTTCTTGCTCGAAAAAATTTAGTTCTTGATAGAAGTAAATTTTCTTATCTTGAGAAAATTTCTCTCTTGCTCCAAAAAATTAAATATAAAGATAGAAGTAAATTTTCATTAATATTTTTATTGATTAACATGTCAAATAATATTAAATCATTTTTTTTTTCATTAAATATGTATAATTGCACGCTAAAATAATATAAAATGGGTATCAAATATTCAAGAGAAAAATTTTCTCAAGGTGAAAAAATTTTTTTCTCAGCTTAAGTAGGTAGCACTGCTTCCCCAAAGTATCTAAAAATCTTGATCAAATATAATAATTTATTATATCAAGTATTTATGATAGAATTAAGAAAAAATGACTCACCAAGAATAGCCACCCGAAAATTTTCTTGAGCCAAGAATTTTGTTCTCCAGTCAAGAAATTTTTTTTTCTGTATAGAAAAATTCAAATTGTACTGCGTAATATCTGAATTATACTCACTGTAATCTGGATAATACTAGCTACTATCTGAAATTTTTTTCATTCAGTATAATCTTGTTCTTTCCGTTTACTTGGCCCTGAAAATAAATAAATATAAAAAGTGAAGATGAAAATATTTATTAAATAAATTTTTTTATTTACTTTCAGGCATACTCACGGCCAGTGATGAAGAGCACTGCCGTCCAGATCGCGAAGATCATCGCAACAACTTTGATAACTATCTCTGTTATCATCGGGAGTTTTATCTTAGCTGCAGCTTGGCTCCAAGCTCGTGCATCATGCACTCCTGAAGCTATTAACGGTATGCAGACACAAATAAACAGCCAGCAGGAATTTATCAAACATTTACAACCTGAGGCTCTTGTTCAGGTATACTTAGAAAAATATTATCATATATTTATTTGACAATTTTAAATTTTATCTGGAATCATCAATTTTGTTTTTAACAAGTTCCGACAATCACATGTCAAGGCAAACTAGAAACTAGTATTTAATAGCTCACTACTAAAGAATCATTATTAAAGCGTCTTATAAGTAAAGAATAATTTTACGATTTTTTTTTTTTTTTTTTTTTTTTTTTTTTTTGTTAGGAGTAGAAAAATGACTGGGTTTTATTTTCACCTTTGACGTGACTCAGAGGACAAACTTTATGTGTGTTGAGTGTTTAGCTCTTACGTTCACACAAACATGCTATGTACACTTATAAATTTACTTTCTACTGAGCGTACTATAGTACATACTAAGCCAGGAAGCAAAAATACATGAATTGCATACAAATAATTAGTAATTCATATTTTTGCAATTGAGTACTTGATAGTAAATTTAAATCTAATTAAAATACCAATATGATTTTTTGTGAAGCATTTTCACACCGGGTTTTTATAGTGTTTGCCATCAAAAATTAGTAATGATTAGTTTGTTCTCCTGCAAACATAAAATAAAATGAAATTAGTCTTAACTATTAAATGATACATTATCTATGTATTTATTAGGTTTATTTACCGCCGGTAGAAAAAAAAAAATAAATAAAAAATACTCACCTATACAACGAGCACAATGAAAGTGGGTTGTTTAGCTCCGACGGCAGTTTTGTAGCGAGAGGTGAATGTTCGCTGAAAGGATTTTCTCTTTGCCGATTAACTGTATACCGTCGAGGATAATAATCTTCACCGCACAGATTTTAATCGCTCAGTAGCTAATCCTCGGCAGTTTTTTTTTCTAAAAAATAAAAAAATTAACAGAAAAAAAAGCAATAGTAAACACACCAAAAAATATGATTGACATTCTGATGATACTAAATTTTAAACAGACATCTAATGATTTTTTAGATTTTTATAACAATTAAATTGTAGTAAAAAAAATTTCACATTTAAAAATTATTTTTAAATTATAAGTGCGAATTTTTAGAAATATTTTTTATAATAATTTGTTATAAAAATTGTCAGATATCAGCTAAATTCAGTATCATGTCCGATAATACTAAAATAAGTTGTAAGTTAACAATTGTCAGATCAAATATGACTTTTTATAATTTAAAAATTATATAAATTTAATTTTTTTGAATGGCATTAAAGTTAGCAATCACTTGATAATTTTTTAATTTTTTTTAACAAACAAATTTGTTAGAAAAATCATTTTTAAAAAATTGCATTTATAGTTTTTATTAAATTTCTACATTTCAATTTTTTTTTTTCATTTTCTTTACACTAGATTATTTCTTAAAAAAATTCTAAAATTTATTAAATATCTGCTACTTTAACTTCAATTTTTTTACGACATTAAAGTTAGCAGTTTACAATTTTTTAATTTTATTTAACAAAAAAATTAATTTAAAAAAATTGCATTTTTAATTTTTTTAATTTTCTACATTTCAATTTTTTTTTTCTAAATTTTTTACACTAATTTATATCTTAAAAAAATTCTAAAATTTATTAAATATTTGCTACTTTAATTTTAATTTTAATTTTTTTACTTCATTAAAGTTAACAGTTACCACAATTTTTAAATTTTATTTAACAAAAAAATTTCTTCCAAAAAATTGCATTTTTAACTTTTTTAAATTTCTACATGTCAATTTTTTTTTTTGCACTAATTTATATCTTAAAAAAATTCTAAAATTTATTAAATATCTGCAACTTTAATTTTCATGATTTTTTATACTTAAAAAATGATATCAATATAATTCTTTTGAAACTTATATTTTGATTTGCATGACCAATTATATTATTTTGCCAAGGAATAACTTTCGAATGAGCCGATTAATTTTCTATATCTGTCAAGTAGCGGCATGAAACTCCTAAAAGTTATTGTTTTTATATAAAACGACAAATGATCTTACGTTATTGCCCTAAAAAAAAAAAAGTAACAAGTAGTTTGGTTGTTATTTCCGCAGTACTAGTCAATCGGGAAGTATATAGAAAGTTGTCAACAGTTTCAATTGCTAAATAATTTCCTGTAAATCAACTCTCGCAGGTATAGGTAAATAGTATACCTATTTAATAAGCTTATTGAATGTCCATATCAACCTGCATTAATAAACAACAACTGATACTACTGATAATTTAATATTTTATAAGGAGATTTATTATTGAATTACAAATGATAGGTAGCTTTTCAATAAGCATCACCCACTCATACTTTCCGGTCACGCATTGACGCCGGGTCATAGCACTTAGCAGTTGGTGAAAGTTAAGTCACTTTGATTATTATTGTTATTAAAAGAAGTCGCGGTAAACTCGAAAGGATGGAAATCGAATGCGACCAACCGTAGCATCATGCAATTAATTGTGAGGAGAACGTGAGCTAAAAAATTAATATTGGCTATTAAGACGATTCCTAGACGTACTATTAAATTAGTGAAACTTACTTAATATTAATTATTATTTTATCCATTTAATTTTCTCTAAATATATAGGATCCTATTGATGTCAAGCAGAACATTGACGAGTCTTCTGTTAAAACTAAACAGCCTACTGCAGAGCCTAAAGAGGAAGAAACCCAAACTGATAATCAAGATGATTCGAAAGCTGACAACGAAAGTGCAAATGACAATGAAAATGATGATGACTATAATGATTCTGGATTCTCACCAGTTCACTTTAAATTCTCACCTCAGCTTGATTTAGATGATCTTGCAAATGTAAGTATTGGTGTCCGAAATTTTGGGGAATATTTCATTAATTTATTTATTTATTTTTCTACATAAATACTCAACAGCAATGGCCAATAACAGGGTCACTAGAATATAAATTTAACGTCCTTTTACAATATCTTATTAACTTATGACAAAGATTTTACTTTTTGGTATTTGAGTATATAGGTCTATTTTTATTAATTATTTAAGAATTAATGGAAATATCTATTATGATTATGGCAGTGCTTATTATTTAATTATTGTATGTATTTAGTTAATAATATTATATTAGTGTTACTTAAGGTATGATTAAATTAGGAAATTAAACGTGTGAGAATTTATTTTGAAGCCGAGAAAGTTTAGCGAGCAGAAGAAAATCGTTATAAAAGAATTGTTAAAGACTGAGAAATTATTCTAAGTCACAAGCAAGTTTTAGTATGGGAAAGCTGCGAATGGATATAAAATGAAAGAATGGACGATTAAAATAATAAAGAATTGTGAATTCGATGCGGCGAATGGATATAAAATGAGAGAATGGACGATTATTATTTTAAAGAATTGGGACTTGGAAATAAAAACTTAGAATTTGGTGAGACGAATGGATAGAGAATGAGCGAAATTGCGATTAAAATAATAAATAATTATTTTAAAATGCTAGTTCAATGACGTCGGATAGATGGCAAAAACGATCATTCCGGTTCGTGGTAAGTGAGTTTTTGGGAAAGTAATAAAGTCCAAAATTTTATCACGGAAAAGCGAATTCTTTCTCCGGAGAATTACTCGGGCGAATACTCTTCACCAAGTAATTCTAGAGGATGATACTCTACCTGGAGTCTTACCAAGACCCAGGTAGGTATCAGGGACCGACCGGATGAAAGTGCGACTCCCCGTGCCAAGGCCTTCAGCTGAGGTACGGTAGGTGATCATAAGTCGTGTAGATGGGAGAGATAGGGATACACTCCGATCTCTCTCTGGGGTAGTTCGGTAGGCGAGGGTGAGGCGGATACACTCCACTCATTCTCGAAGGGAGGTTGGGTGATTTAGGGGTTTTGCACCTTAGACCGCGTTTCCTCTCTGGGAGGGAAAAATAGACTCCACCGGGACCGTGTATACCGTACAGAGACTAGTTTTGACCGCGATAATTGTTGTACGCCGCGGCCATCTTATTGGTATTACGCCATTTTGTATACTTGTGTGTGTGATACAACGTTACTCTGTTTGAACTATATATATAAATTTTGTTTAACTTAGTTTGATGTATATATTCTATTTTTAAAAATACAGAACTTTTATTTAGTTAAATACGAATATTTTTATTTAATTGGACACTTTGTGTATTTTGATTTAATGACCGAGATTATTCCCTTTTGTTTTCAACCCTGGACTCCGGCGAGCTCTATATCGAGCCAAAGGGGATAAAATTGGGAAAAATTGCCCGTTACAAACT